ATTTTTATTTCTTGCTCTCTGCAGTCACCCTGTGGCCAAAAATCGGAAATGCAACCTATTTTTATTTATTAATTTTTTTTTAGGGATTTTTATTACTTGCTCTCTGCTACCAACCTGTGACCAAAAATCGGAACTGCAATAATTTTTATTTATTTATGTTTTTTGATGGTTTTTATTTCTTGCTCTCTGCAGTCACCCTGTGGCCAAAAATCGGAACTGCAAACAATTTTTAATTATTTATTTTTTTAGGGATTTTTATTTCTTGCTCTCTGCTGCCACCCTGTGGCCAAAAATCGGAACTGCGAACAATTTTTATTTATTTATTTTTTAAAGGGATTTTTATTTCTTGCTCTCTGCTCCAACCCTGTGGCCAAAAATGGGAACTGCAACCAATTTTTATTTATTAATTTTTTTTTAGGGATTTTTATTTCTTGCTCTCTGCAGTCACCCTGTGGCCAAAAATCGGAAATGCAACCAATTTTTATTTATTAATTTTTTTTTAGAGATTTTTATTACTTGCGCTCTGCTACCAACCTGTGACCAAAAATCGGAACTGCAATAATTTTTATTTATTTATGTTTTTTAGAGATTTTTATTTCTTGCTCTCTGCTGCCACCCTGTGGCCAAAAATCGGAACTGCAAACAATTGTTTTTTTTTTTTTTTAGGGATTTTTATTTCTTGCTCTCTGCAGTCACCCTGTGGCCAAAAATCGGAAATGCAACCTATTTTTATTTATTAATTTTTTTTTAGGGATTTTTATTACTTGCTCTCTGCTACCAACCTGTGACCAAAAATCGGAACTGCAATAATTTTTATTTATTTATGTTTTTTAGAGATTTTTATTTCTTGCTCTCTGCTGCCACCCAGTGGCCAACAATCGGAACTGCAACCAATTTTTTTTTTTTGTGGATTTTTATTTCTTGCTCTCTGCTGCCACCCTGTGGCCAAAAATCGGAACTGCAACCATTTTTTTTCCCTTTTTTTAGGCAATTTTTTCTCTTGCTCTCTGCTGCCACCCTGTGGCCAAAAATCGGAAATGCAACCAATTGTTTTTTTTTTTTTTGGATTTTTATTTCTTGCTCTCTGCTGCCACACTGTCGCCAAAATTCGGAACTGCAATCAATTTTTATTTATTTATGTTTTTTAGAGATTTTTATTTCTTGCTCTCTGCTGCCACCCTGTGGCCAAAAATCGGAACTGCAGGCAATTTTTTTTTTTTTTTTTTTAGGGATTTTTATTTCTTGCTCTCTGCTGCCACACTGTGGCCAGAAATCGGAACTGCAGGCAATTTTTAATTATTTATTTTTTAATGGATTTTTATTTCTTGATCTCTGCTGGCTCCCTGTGGCCAAGAAACGGGACTGCAACCAATTTTTATTTATTTTTTTTTTAGGTATTTTTATTTCTTGCTCTCTGCTGCCACCCTGTAGCCAAAAATCGGAACTGCAACCAATTTTTTTTTTTTTTTGTGGATTTTTATTTCTTGCTCTCTGCTGTTAACGCGTGGCCGAAAATCGGAACTGCAACCTTTTTTTTTTACCTTTTTTTAGGCAATTTTTTCTTTTTCTCTCTGCTGCCACCCTGTGGCCAAAAATCGGAACTGCAACCATTTTTTTTACCTTTTTTTAGGCAATTTTTTCTTTTTTGCTCTCTGCTGCCACCCTGTGGCCAAAAATCGGAAACTGCAACCAATGTTTATTTTTTTTGCGATATTTATTTCTTGCGAGCTGCTGCCCCCCTGTGGCCAAAAATCGATACTGCAACCAATTTTTTTTTACCTTTTTTTAGGCATTTTTTTTCTTGCTCTCTGCTGCCACCCTGTGGCCAAGAATAGGAACTGCAACAATTTTTTTTTACCTTTTCTTTGTCATTTTTTTCTTGGTCTCTGCTGTCACCCTGTGGCCAAAAATCGAAACTGCAAACAATTTTTTTTTACCTTTTTTTAGGCATTTTTTTTCTTGCTCTCTGCTGCCACCCTGTGGCCAAAAATGGGAACTGCAACCAATTTTTTTTTACCTTTTTTTAGGCATTTTTTTCTTGGTCACTGCTTCCACCCTGTGGCCAAAAATCGGAACAGCAAGCAATTTATTTATTTATTTATTTTTAGGGATTTTTATTACTTGCTCTCTGCTTCCACCCTGTGGCCAAAAATCGGAACTGCAACCAATGTTTATTTATTTTTTTTGCGATATTTATTTCTTGCTCTCCGCTGCTACCCTGTGGCCAAAAATCGATACTGCAACCAATTTTTTTTTTACTTTTTTTTAGGCATTTTTTTTCTTGCTCTCTGCTGCCACCCTGTGGCCAAAAATCAGAACTGCAACAATTTTTTTTTACCTTTTCTTTGTCATTTTTTTCTTGGTCTCTGCAGTCACCCTGTGGCCGAAAATCGGAACTGCAACCAATATTTAATTATTTTTAGGGATTTTTATTTCTTGCTCTCTGCTGCCAACGTGTGGCCGAAAATCGGAACTGCAGGCAATTTTTTATTTTTTTTTTGGGATTTTTATTTCTTGCTCTCTGCTGCCATTCTCTGGCCAAAAATCGGAACTGCAAACAATTTATTTATTTATTTATTTTAAGGCATTTTTATTTCTTGCTCTCTGCTGCCATTCTGTGGCCAAAAATCGGAACTGCAACAAATATATTTATTTATTTATTTTTAGGGATTTATATTTCTTGCTCTCTGCTGCCAGCCTGTGGCCAAAAATCAGTACGGCAACCAATTTATTTATTTATTTATTTTTAGGGATTTATATTTCGTGCTCTCTGCTGCCACCCTGTGGCTAAAAATCGGAACTGCAACCATTTTTTTTACCTTTTTTTAGGCAATTTTTTCTTTTTCTCTCTGCTGCCACCCTGTGGCCAAAAATCGGAACTGCAACCAATGTTTATTTATTTTTTTTGCGATATTTATTTCTTGCTCTCCGCTGCTACCCTGTGGCCAAAAGTCGATACTGCAACCAATTTTTTTTTACCTTTTTTTAGGCATTTTTTTTCTTGCTCTCTGCTACCAACCTGTGGCCAAAAATCAGAACTTCAACAATTTTTTTTTTACCTTTTCTTTGTCATTTTTTTCTTGGTCTCTGCTGCCACCCTGTGGCCAAAAATCGAAACTGCAAACAATTTTTTTTTACCTTTTTTTAGTCATTTTTTTCTTGCTCTCTGCTGCCACCCTGTGGCCAAAAATCGGAACTGCAACAATTTTTTTTTTACCTTTTTTTAGTCATTTTTTTCTTGGTCTCTGCTGCCACCCTGTGGCCAAAAATCGGAACTGCAAACAATTTTTTTATTATTTATTTATTTTAAGGGATTTTTATTTCTTGCTCTCTGCTGCCACCCTGTGGCCAAAAATCGGAACTGCAACCAATTTATTTATTTATTTATTTTAAGGCATTTTTATTTCTTGGTCTCTGCTGCCAACCTGTGGCCAAAAATCGGAAACTGCAACCAATTTTTATTTTATTTTTTTTTTAGGGATTTTTATTTCTTGCTCTCTGCTGCCACCCTGTGGCCAAAAATCGGAAATGCAAACAATTGCTTTTATTTTACATTTTTTTTTGGGGGGGGATCTTTATTTCTTGCTCTCTGCTGCCATTCTCTGGCCAAAAATCGGAACTGCAACAATTTTTTTTTACCTTCTCTTAGTCATTTTTTTTCTTGGTCTCTTCTGCCACCCTCGGCCAAAAATCGGAAATGCAACCAAATTTTTTTTTTTTTTTAGGGATTTTTATTTCTTGCTCTCTGCTGCCAACCTGTGGCCAAAAATCGGAACTGCAAACAATTTTATTTTTTTTGTGGATTTTTATATCTTGCTCTCTGCTGCCACCCTGTGGCCAAAAATCGGAACTGCAACCATTTTTTTTACCTTGTTTTACGCAATTTTTTCTCTTGCTCTCTGCTGCCACCCTGTGGCCAAAAATCGGAACTGCAATCAATTTATTTATTTATTTATTTGTAGGGATTTTCATTGCTTGAGATCTGCTGCCACCCTGTGGCCAAAAATCGGAACTGCAACCAATGTTTATTTATTTATTTATTTTTAGGGATTTTTATTTCTTGCTCTCTGCTGCCATTCTCTGGCCAAAAATCGGAACTGCAACCATTTTTTTTCCCTTTTTTTAGGCAATTTTTTCTCTTGCTCTCTGCTGCCACCCTGTTGCCAAAAATCGGAACTGCAACAATTTTTTTTTACCTTTTTTTAGTCATTTTTTACTTGGTCTCTGCTGCCACCCTGTGGCCAAAATTCGGAACTGCAACCAATTTATTTATTTATTTATTTTTAGGGATTTTTATTGCTTGAGATCTGCTGCCACCCTGTGGCCAAAAATCGGAACTACAAACAATTGTTTTTATTTTATTTTTTTTTAGGGATTTTTATTTCTTGCTCTCTGCTGCCATTCTCTGGCCAAAAATCGGAACTGCAACCATTTTTTTTCCTTTTTTTTAGGCAATTTTTTCTCTTGCTCTCTGCTGTTACCCTGTGGCCAGAAATCGGAACTGCAGGCAATTTATTTATTTATTTATTTTTAGGGATTTTTATTGCTTGAGATCTGCTGCCACCCTGTGGCCAAAAATCGGAACTGCAACCAATTTTTATTTATTTGTATCTTTTAATGTTTTTTTTTTCTTGGTCTCTGCTGCCACACTGTGGCCAAAAATCGGAACTGCAACCAATTTTTATTTATTTATGATTATTTTTAGGGATTTTTATTACTTGCTCTCTTCTGCTACTCTGAGGCCAAAAATCGGAAATGCAACCAAATTTTTTCTTTTTTGTTAAGGGATTTTTATTTCTTGCTCTCTGCTGCCACCCCGTGGCCAAAAATCGGAACTGCAACCAATTTTTATTTATTTTTTTAGGCTTTCTTTTTTCTTGCTCTCTGCTGCCGACCTGTGGCCAAAAATCGGAACTGCAACCAATTTTTTTTACCTTTTTTTAGGGATTTTTATTTCTTACTGGCAGGTTCAATTCCTTTTGGCTTCTGTATTGTTTGCTACGCTTGTGTTCTGTTTCTCTTCTCTTTTTTCCATGTTGCCTGGCAGTGCCTCACTGGAGTTCCCATTACCCCCGGGCACACTTGTGACCAAGTGAGGTGCCAAAAAAAGAGGTATCTCCTAAACAGGCTTCTGCTGAGTGCTGTCCTCGTCTTGGGGTTTGTCAAATGCCCACCTTTCTTTTCTACCCCACTTTGTTGAGGACGGCGTGTGAGGCTTTCTTCTTTCTTTGTAGGATTGGCGACTCCACCACCAGAAGTAGCAGGCATTTTGGGACATCCAAGGTACCGCAGTGAGCGTGTCCTGTTCCTGGTAAAGGTGTGGGCGTTCCTGGACACGAAGGTATCTATCTTCATGCCTTGCCCATGTGCCCAGTCCCCCACCAGATGCTGTTAGCCTTTTGGCCCCCCTGATTTGCTGCACTGCTGCACCCTGATCCTTGCAGAGGGGTAAGTGACACCCGTGTCCCTTCCGGAAAGTGCTCTGCACTTTCCTCTTGTTGCTCATTGGCAGCACTGTCTCTCTCTAGCCAGCATCTCATTGGTTAGCGGAAGCGCCGTCCCACCCCCGCCAGCCTCTCATTGGTCATCGGCAGCGCCGTACCACCTCATCAGTCTCTCATTGGTCACCGGCAGTGCTGTAGTGCCCTCGTCAGCCTGTGATTGGTCATCGGCAGCGCCGTCCCGCCCTCGCCTGCGTCTCATTCGTCATCGGCAGTGCCATCGCGCCCTCATGTGCTTCTCATTGGTAATCGACAGCTCCGTCCCGCCCCCGCCAGCCTCTCATTGGTCATCGGCAGCGCCGTCCCGCCCTCGCCACCCAGTGATTGGTCATCGGCAGTGCCGTCCCGCCCTCATGTGCCTCTCATTGGTCACCGACAGCACTGTCCCGCCCCCGCCAGCCTCTCATTGGTGATTGGCAGCGCCATCCTACCCCTGCCAGCCTGTCTTTGGTCATTGGCAGCGCTGTCCCGCCCCCGCCAGCCTCTCATTGGTCATCGGCAGCTCCGTCCCGCCTCCGCCAGCATCTCATTGGCCAGCAGCAGCCTTTCCCCGCTTTTTCCCCGCCTTTTTCTTTGCTCTCTCTCTCCTTTCTTCCCCCTCATCCTGTTACAGAAGAGACTGAAGGAATGATGGACAACCTGGTGCAGGATGGCAGCAGCAGGGTGGAGGCCCAGGTGGGTGCGATGAAGCCAGGGGTGGGACTGGGTGGAGCCAGAGCCCAGCCTGAGCTCATTTATGGGCTGGGAATCACAGGGCTCAGATGTGTGCCTGGGCTTCTGGTGTCAGTGAGGTTGGGTGAGCAGTGAGGTTTGGGAGGGACCGACTTGTTGGCCTTGAGATTGATGCCCAGCTCCTTGCTCGTCGCCTCCTGTTCGGCTCGAGGTTCCGGACACGGCTTGCTCTTCAAAGCAGTGCAAGGACTGCGAGAAAGACTTTGTTGGATGCAGCAGGAAAGCACAGCCGCTGGTGGATGCCAGTGTCCGCTCCTGAGGCTCTGCACCAAGGTACATGGATCCCTGCCGTCTCCTGTTTCACACGCTCGCTCAGGTCCTTGGGCTTGGTGTCGGTTGTCAATCGTGCTCATGTTGCTGTCACCGGGTGTTCTTCCTCTCCCCGTGCCCGGCTCTGCCCAGTGCTGATGGGATGTCAGTGCCACCTGCTGCTCTCAACAAAAGGTAGGTTCGATTCCTTTTGGCTTCCATAACATTTGCTCTCAGTCTCTCTTGCTCAGTCTCTCTTCTCTTTTTTCCACGTTGCCTGGCAGTGCCTCGCTGGAGTTCCCATGACCCCCGGGCACACTTGTGAGCAAATGAGGTGCCAAAAGAAGAGGTATCTCCTAAACAGGCTTCTGCTGAGTGCTGTCCTCATCTTGGGGTTTGTCCAATGCCCACCTTTCTTTTCTACCCCACTTTGTTGAGGACGGCGTGTGAGGCTTTCTTCTTTCTTTGTAGGATTGGTAACTCCACCACCAGATGTCGCAGGCATTTTGGGAGGTCTATGGTTGCGCAGTGAGCGTGTCCTGTTCCTGGTATAGGTGTGGGCGTTCCTGGACATAAAGGTATCTTCATGCTTTCCCCATGTGCCAAGTACCCCGCCAGATGCTATTCAGCTTTTGGCACCCCCTAAGTTGCTGCAATGTCTGCGCCCTGATTTTGGGAGTGAGGTAAGTGACACCTTTGAAAACAAGCGATATTTTAGGGTCAAAAACAGGGATTTCTATGAAAATAAGTGATATTTTAGGGGAAAAACAGGGATTTCTATGAAAATAAGCCATATTTCAACAGAAAAACAGGTATTTCTGTGAAAATAAGCGATACTGAATGGGAAAAATAGGGATTTCTATGAAAATAAGCGATATTTTAGGGGAAAAACAGGGATTTCAATGAAAACAAGTGATATTGTAGTGGAATAACAGGGATTTCTGTGAAAATAAGTGATATTTCAGCGGAAAAACAGGGATTTCTATGAAAATAGACGACATTTTAGGGGAAAAACAGGGATTTCCATGAAAATAAGCGATATTTAAGGGGAAAAACAGGGATTTCTATGAAAATAAGCGATATTTTAGGGTTAAAAACAGGGATTTCCATTAAAATAAGTGATATTTTAGGGTTAAAAACAGGGATTTCCATGAAAATAACTGATATTTAAGGTTAAAAACAGGGATTTTCATGAAAATAAGTGATATTTAAGGGGAAAAACAGGGATTTCTATGAAAATAAGCGATATTCAAGGAGAAAAACAGGGATTTCTATGAAAATGAGCAATATTTAAGGTTATAAACAGGGATTACTGTGAAAATAAGTGATATTTAAGGTTAAAAACAGGGATATCTATGAAAATAAGGGATATTTTAGGGGAAAAACAGGGAATTCTGTGAAAATAAGAAATATTTAAGGGGAAAACCAGGGATTTGTGTGAAAATAAGCGATATTTTGGGGGAAAAATAGGGATTTCTATGAAAATAAGTGATATTTTAGGGAAAAAACAGGGATTTCCAAGAAAATAAGCGGTATTTTAGGGTGAATAACAGGGATTTCTATGAAAATAAGCGATATTTTACGGTTAAAAACAGGGATATCTGTGAAAATGGGCAATATTTTAGGGGAAAAACAGGGATTTCTGTGAAAATAAGCAATATTTTAGGGGAAAAACAGGGATTTGTGTGAAAATAAGCGAAATTTTAGGGGAAAAACAGGGATTTATATGAAAATAAGCGATATTTTAGGGGAGAAACAGGGATTTATATGAAAATAAGAGATATTTAAGAGGAAAAACAGGGATTTCTAGGAAAATAAACGATATTTTGGGGAAAAAACAGGGATTTCTATGAAAATAAGCGATATTTCATGGGAAAAACAGGGATTTCTGTGAAAATAAGTGATATATAAGGGGAAAAACAGGGATTTCTGTGAAAATGAGCGATATTTTAGGGGAAAAACAGGGATTTCTGTGAAAATAAGCGATATTTCATGGGAAAAACAGGTATTTCTATGAAAATAAGCGATATTTTAGGGGAAAAACAGGGATTTCTATGAAAATAAGCGATATTTTAGGGGAAAAACAGGGATTTCTATGAAAATAAGCGATATTTTGGGGAAAAAACAGGGATTTCTATGAAAATAAGCGATATTTAAGGTTAAAAACAGGGATATCTATGAAAATAAGGGATATATTATGGGAAAAACAGGGATTTCTTGGAAAATAAGCAATATTTAAGGTTAGAAACAGGGATTTCTGTGAAAATAAGCTATATTTTAGGGGAGAAACAGGTATTTCTATGAAAATAAACGATATTTTGGGGAGAAACAGGGATTTCTCTCAAAATAAGCGATATTTTAGGGGAAAAACAGGGATTTCTAGGAAAATAAGGGATATTTTAGGGGAAAAACAGGGATTTCTGTGAAAATAAGCGATATTTTAGGGGAAAAACAGGGATTTATATGAAAATAAGTGATATTTTGGCGGAAAAACAGGGATTTCTGTGAATAAAAGCGATATTTTGGGGGGGAAAAACAGGGATTTCTATGAAAATAAGCGATATTTAAGGTTAAAAACAGGGATTTCTGTGAAAATAAGTGATATTTTGGAGGAAAAACAGGGATTTCTGTGAAAGTAAGCGATATTTTAGGGGAAAAACAGGGATTTCTATAAAAATAAGGGATATTTCAGGTGAAAAACAGGAATTTCTGTGAATAAAAGCGATATTTTAGTGGAAAAGTAGGGTTTTCTATGAAAATAAGCGATATTTAAGGTTAAAAACAGGGATTTCTATGAAAACAAGCGATATTTTAACGTAAAAACAGGGATTTCATGGAAAATAAGCAATATTTTAGGGGAAAAACAGGGATTTCTATGAAAATAAGCGATATTTTGGGGGAAAAACAGGGATTTCTGTGAAAATAAGCGATAATTTAGGCGAAAAAGCAGGGATTTCATGGAAAATAACTGATATCTTAGTGGAAAAGCAGGGATTTCTATGAAAATAAGCGATATTTTGGGGGAAAAACAGGGATTTCTGTGAAAATAAGCGATATTTTAGGGGAAAAACAGGGATTTCTGTGGAAATTAGTGATATTTTGGGGGAAAAACAAAGATTTCTGTGAAAATAAGTGATATTTTGGGGGAAAAACAGGGATTTCTGTGAAAATAAGCGATATTTTAGGGGAAAAACAGGGATTTCATGGAAAATAAGCGATATTTCATGGGAAAAACAGGGATTTCTGTGAAAATAAGGGATATTTTATGGGAAAAACAGGGATTTCTGTGAAAATAAGCGATATTTAAGGGGAAAGCAGGGAATTCCGTGAAAATAAACGATATTCTGGGGAAAAAACAGGGATTTCTATGAAAATAAGCGATATTTTGGGGAAAAAACAGGGATTTCTGTGAAAATAAGCAATATTTTCGGGGAAAAACAGGGGTTTCTATGAAAATACGCGATATTTTAGGGTTAAAAACAGGGATTTATATGAAAAAAAGGGATATTTGAGTGGACAAACAGGGATTTCTTGGAAAATAAGTGATATTTAGGGGAAAAACAGGGATTTCTGTGAATAAAAGCGATATTTTAGGGGAAAAACAGGGATTTCTGTGAAAATAAGTGATATTTCAGGGGAAAAACAGGGATTTCAGTGAAAATAAGGAATATTTAAGGTTAGAAACAGGGATTTCTGTGAAAATAAGCTATATTTTAGGGGAAAAACAGGGATTTCATGGAAAATAAGCGATATTTTAGGGGAAGAACAGGGATTTCTAGGAAAATAAACGATATTTTACAGGAAAAACAGGGGTTTCTGTGCAAATAAGAGATATTTAAGTGGAAAAACAGGGATTTCATGGAAAATAAAAGATATTTTAGGGGAAAAACAGGGATTTCTCTGAAAATATGTGATATTTTAGGGGAAATACAGGGATTTCTATGAAAATAAGCGATATTTCAGGGGGACAAACAGCGATTTCTGTGAAAATAAGTGATATTTAAGGGAAAAACAGGGATTTCTAAGAAAATAATCGAAATTTAAGGTGACAAACACAGGGATTTCATGGAAAATAAGGGATATATTATGGGAAAAACAGGGATTTCTGTGAAAATAAGCGATATTTTATTGGAAAATAGGGATTTCAGTGAAAATAAGAATATTTTAGGGGAAAAACAGGGATTTCATGGAAAATAAGCGATATTTTTTGGGAAAAACAGGGATTTCTATGAAAATAAGCGATATTTCAGGGGAAAAACGGATTTATATGAAAATAAGCATTATTGTAGGGGAAAAACGCATTTGTGAGAAAATAAGGGATATTTTAGGGGAAAAACTGGGGTTTATATGAAAATAAGGGATCTTTAATGGGAAAAACAGGGATTTCATGGAAAATAAGCGATATTTTAGGGGAAAAACAGGGATTTCTATGAAAATAAGCGATATTTTAGGGGAAAAACAGGGATTTCTGAGAAAATAAGCGATATTTAAGGGGAAAAAAGGGATTTCTATAAAAATAAGCGATATTTGAGGGGAAAAACAGGGATTTATATGAAAATAAGCGATATTTTTGGGGAAAAACAGGGATTTATATGAAAATAAGATTATTTCAGGGGAATAACAGGGATTTCTAGGAAGATAAGCGATATTTTAGGGGAAAAACAGGAATTTCTAGGAAAATAAGAGATATTTTAGGGGAAAAACAGGGATTTCTATGAAAATAAAGCGATATTTTGGGGGAAAACAGGGATTTCTATGAAATTAAGTGGTATTTTAGTGGAAACACAGGGATTTCATGGAAAATAAGCAGTTTTTTATGGGCAAAACAGGAAGTTCTATAAAAATAAGTGATATTTAGGGGAAAAACAGGGATTTATATGAAAATAAGGGATATTTTAGGGGAAAAACAGGGATTTCTATGAAAGTGAGTGCTATTTTACGGGAAAAATAGGGAGTTCTGTGAAAATAAGAATATTTTAAGGGAAAAACAGGGATTTCTATGGAAATAAGCGATATTTAATGGGAAAAACAGGGATTTCTATGAAAATAAGCGATATTTTAGTGGAAAAACAGGGATTTATATGAAAATAAGGGATATTTTAGGGGAAAAACAGGGATTTCTGTGAAAATAAGTGATATTTTAGGGGAAAAACAGGGATTTATATGAAAATAAGTGATATTTTGGGGGAAAAACAGGGATTTCTGTGAAAATAAGCGATATTTTAGGGGAAAAACAGGGATTTCTATGAAAGTAAGTGCTATTTTACGGGAAAAATAGGGAGTTCTGTGAAAATAAGAATATTTTAAGGGAAAAACAGGGATTTCTATGAAAATAAGCGATATTTTATTGGAAAAACAGGGATTTCTATGAAAATAAGGGATATTTTGGGGGAAAAAAAGGGATTTATATGAAAATAAGCGATATTTTAGGGGAAAAACAGGGATTTCTGTGACAATAAGGGATATTTTTGGGGAAAAACAGGGATTTCTATGAAAATAAGCGATATTTTGGGGAAAAAACAGGGATTTATATGAAAATAAGTGATATTTTGGGGGAAAAACAGGGATTTCTATGAAAATAAGCGATATTTTGGGGGAAAAACAGGGATTTCTGTGAAAATAAGCGATATTTGAGGGCACAAACAGGGATTTCTATGAAAGTATGTGCTATTTTACGGGAAAAATAGGGAGTTCTGTGAAAATAAGAATATTTTATGGGAAAAACAGGGATTTCTGTGAAAATAAGCG